AATGCAAATTCAATCCAATCCAATCCACCAACCGAGGGTTGCCTGAAGGTGGGAACCGAACCACTTCATTGCCCAAACACAGTTTGGGGTGTCCTCCTTGTTCACCTCCTCGCAGGCCATTCGCCTGTCGAGCGAGGTGCCATACTGGCAACCAGCATTGGACCTGCAATGATTTCAGCCAGCACCCAGGTCCCAACAACCGGCTTTGTGGACAGTACTTGGGACTTTGGACATGGGAAAAAGCAGTTGCGGGGGAGTGCTGGTAGTTGTTTGCCTTGATTGTACAAAGGGTCAACTGGAAACATGAAACATTCCCTGCCCCGATTGTAGTCCAAATGGAGCTTGTTCATCAAAAATGCATGGCGAACTGGGAGAACAACAAATGGACTTGCACTAGCAAAGAGTGAGGTACTCTGTCCAACAAACAATTGTTATACCTGCAGCTTCAAACGACTAGAAAAAAGTAGGTGTGTTGGTCATTGTAATGCTTTTGCCTGTTTCGTATCATTTTCACCGCAAAACAACTTATAGACGCCTAGAATTTGGAATTATTGGGTGTGTCCTTCTTGCACAAGGCTTTCTCTCTCGTTCAGCTTGATATTTCTCACTAAACCTGATTTTCGAATCTTCTGAAACTTTTAAACTCGACAACCCTTCAAATCCTTCCCTTCATCAACACCCTTCAATCCTAGCTGTGCGGGGGAGTGGGCGCAAATCGGAGCAAGTTTGGTCTGAACATGCTTCGGGTGAGAAATGCTGTTTGTTCTACCACTTTTGGCCGCACCTGTTGGCAAAAACCCGCAAAACGCCCGCAACAAATCCGCAAACGAGCGCAAATCCCAAAAAGTGGGTCAATTTGGTTTGTTTGCATGCACTGGCATGCCTTGATTGGGGACCAATGTAAGGTTCTGCTGCACGCTTGCAACGGGAAATGCCAGCACCGAGAAAGGAAACTATATTGATATGATGTCAGATCTTGTTGGCTCAAATATCCTCCCAAACGGCCGGCAGCACCTTAGACGCCGGCCAAGCGGTTCGTACTAGAACGCCCAGTTTTCCTCCAGTTCAAAGGCTGGGCAAACTTTGATTCCAAGATGCCGGCATCTGGGGTGACCCCGCCCCCCGCTCTGATCGAGCTCCTCCCGGCCCGCGCCGGTGAGCCCAGCCTCAATTGCGCTCCATGGCTCCGACTCGATGGGACCCGGTCGCCATAGGACGGATGGAAAGGAAACCATTCGGCCACTGGTGTCAACTCATAGTCCACCCCGCCGAAACCCTGTGCCGCTCCCGGTACATGCTTTGACATTGCAGCTGCGACTGACTGCCCTGCAAGCGGCAACTCGAAACTGCTGAACAGAAAGACTAAAGCTGTGAGCCTTTCGGAAGGGAAGGAACCAGCAGTACGGCGTACAATGTGCATCTCTTTTTTCGCTGGTCGTTCGTCAGGAGATGAAAACATGCGCATCCCTGTGTGGATGTCGGCGCGCAATCACCCCTGAAAATGTTGACGAAATTGTTGCCCAAATGGCAAGTGGCACACAACAGCTAAACATGGCATGTTGAAAGAGGCAGGAAACGAAGACGGGAGACAGGTGGGAACGTGGTAGAGTTAATTGGGAAAGAGACAAGCCTGACAATCTGCTCCTACCATGGAGATGCCAAGATGGAAGGTAAAACAAACTTACATGTAGAGACAACATGGAAGGGAAAGCAAACATGCATCTAGCACAAGAACATCTTGACCAACCCCGCTACTCTTCATGCCAAAAAAGAATCCGAACAACGGTATTTAAAGCCAAGCACGAGAAACACAAGCTATAACATCAACAGAACGGCTTGCCCCGTTTGGCTTCCGCATGCACTACTTGTGTATGTATGTATGTATGTATGTATGTATGTATGTATGTATGTATGTATATATATATATATACGTATTATACATAATGCGTTTCGGCACGACCGTTATCAAACGCCAGTACTTTGAAGGTTGAAAGTCAATGCTTACAGTACCAGACATCAAATAAAACTGAAACATCCACGAAAAACCTCCATCCCCCAGAAATGTTGTCGAGCTTGTGGGTTTGATGCATCCGCTCAGCAAATATGTCTAAACTGCCCAGAGCGCAACTTTGTAGCGACTTTCCCACTATGAAGCTCAAGCCTAGAAACACAATTCTGACAACATGTCCAGATCTGCATCAGATACTATGGGTATGAGAACCTGCAAATCAGAAGCCCATCCTTGCATGATTTGAGTGTGTGTGTGTGTGTGTGTCTAAGAGGTCAATCCTAGCGGAACAAAATGCACTTTGGATCCGTTCCCAAAGATCCCCAAGAATGAATGTCGAACCCGGATTAATTGACCCCAATCTATTAATATTAGTGGGATTCATCACATTTGGAGGGGAACACCCCCTATTCATAGGCAGGGGTTTATTCATCCGGGGTCAACACTACATGGGTTGTTTTTCTTTAAAGGGCATCATTCGCCTGGACACGAATAGACATGACATCAGCAGGCACTCCTCAGTCCAGCGATGCCCAAGAAGCCCCCGCTCGCCTGTTTTACGCGCTTCCAAACGCCTGGGCGAAGCTTCATTTCACTTTTCCTGGAAGCGTCGTTGCTGAAGCATTCACCGGATGGACAAATTCCACAAGCTGAATAGCCGAATAGCGTTATGAATGAATTCATGCAATCTCCAAGTGGCTAGTCACTGTCCATCCGGCTGAATGTCTAGGTTCACGGCCCCTGCGTATTGGCAACCTGAGGGCTACCATGGCTACCCGAAGTCACAGCCCCAACTATCATAGCAAAGGAATGAATGATTTGTCTGGGGTCTAAACGTTGGCCTGCTTCGGATAGCCCTCACTTGGTTGAGGGAAATGTTGCACCACTGCATGCGAACAGTTCCCCGATGTTGTAGCTCCTTTCAAGCGACTGCTCACGAGCGTGTGGACATCGCCCCTTATCGAGCCACCGGCACCCTACCGCTGACTCAACCGGACTGAGACGAATCTGGTACTCGCCATGCCCAGCCGTGGGATCCAGGGTCTAACATTTCGTGACTGCAAAGCTGACTGTTTCGATGGAAAGCTGGGAAAGCTTGTGACAGCTAGCCGCATGCACACACACACACACATAATTGTATGTGTATGATATACACGGGCATGCACAATTCCAGGCACTTCAGCAGACTTCGAAAGGGGCACAATACATGGCCCCGCTTTTGAACCCTCCTGAAAACCTGCAGTCCAGCCAAGGACCAATGGTTTGGAAAACCCTGACATTGGTGGAACACGATCAACTTCTCACAAAGGCCTCGCAATCCCATCTTGACCCTGGTGAATTCGAATTCGGAACGCAAGGTGCCATGCAAACTTCGAGGCCTGGTGGACTGCAAGCGAGTGCGCACTGCATCCGAACGAGCCCTGATAGAACTCTGAAGGGATGGGTTGCACTCTGCCAGGGATGATGGATGGTTTGACAAACCAGCAAATGGTCTTTAGTCAAAAAAGTGCTTGCTGCAATGGGGGGAGAGCCTAAGCCACAACAAACACGTCATGAGTTGCACATGAAACGCGGTTCGACTAATATGTTTGCTTCAACACTTTCTGACACAGAAACAGTCCCTGACCAGCCAGGAAGCATTCCCTCCTGCCCGTGTATCTGACAAGTCAAAGTGCGAATATGGTATCATGGACATGCTCCCTCTCGCGCCAAACAAAAACGCGTTGGCAAGAGTACCGCGTAGCACAATGGGTGCACTCGCTGGCATGTCCACCAGCCCTCAAAGGGAAGAGGAGAACGGCAGCGCCTATCAGCATTCAGAGCTCTGTCCGTGAAGCAACATAACATGCGCAAACCGCGCACGCTTTAGGGAAAGGTGACCCGTTCAGCGGGAGCTGTTCTTTTGTGGGCTGTTTCGCCGTGTTGAGGCTCCCCCCCCTTTTGTTTTGCTGGGGTTCACACCTTCCGTTGCCTTTTGCTGCCTTTTTTGTTGGGGGGGATTCACTTGCGAGGTATGTTTGCCATGGATCACTTTGCAAGCACCTGCGCAGGCCCCAAGGTGTTTCCGGGCAAGGGGCTGGCTGCTGTGCAACATGTGGCATGGCTGAAATGAAGGGCGCTTCTCTCGAGAAGCACTTGGATACTTAGGGAACTCGTGGGAATACAACTTGGCTCTGAATGGTTAAGAGTCAAGACGACTGTGACCAGATGAACTTCACTCTAGCCCTCACGCCACAGCAACGTCTTTGAGCTTTGAGAGCGGATGTTGGTCATTAAGATTGGTATTGACTGCGTGCCTATGCATACGTGTCTCTCACAGTCTTCCCTATTCTTTGGATGGCCGTGTGAATAAAGCAACATGTTCCTCCCATTACCTCACTTCTTCAAAGCATACCCTCATGCAAACTGACGTGTAATTTCAACACCGCTCCATGTACCAGAGCTTTATGGGGAATACATTTTTAGATTCCATGCCAAAAAATCCAGAAGAATATTGTTGCCATGCAAGGGTAAGACCATTTCCGGTCCCAACATACATCATATAGAGACGTAGCAGTAGCAGCCAAGTCGGCTGTCAGGCAATACTCGAATGCCGGGCTCCGCCATGAATTCTTGGCTCGAGAGCCTCCTGTACTATGTACATGGTTGCAATTCAACCTTCATGCTACTGTACATCTGAATATATTGATTTTTAGTGTGGATATCCAACGCATGGCCTCCACTTTCGCTCGGCCATTTATCCCGCATGTCGGGAGGGGGTTGGCCAAAACATACGCTGCATGGGCAGCATGTGCGAGGTGCAGACTTTCAAAGGGACCACCTCGACCCTGGGACGGCCTTCTCGATTCTCTAAACCCAAACATGTCACACATGTCTCAGGCCTTTTCTACTCAACAGCCCCTCATGATCCCAACTACAAGGATTTGCTCACAAGTCGTGAGGGCGGTCCGGGGAGTTGGTTTTCCAGCCTGACACACGCGTGGCGTCTCGCTCAAAGAAGATCCGCCATGGCCTCGTTGACCTGGCGATCGAATATCTCACGCAAGCCTCCGACTGGCCTTTCCCTTTCGGGTTTGTGTATTCTGGAGGGTATCAGATTGGTTTACATGCAACACAAAAGGACAACCACCTCGTTGAAGGGTTGCATTGAGAAGACCGCACAGGGCACATGGTAGCATTCCGACAAAATACGCCTTATTTGGAACATATTCTGACGTGACAAGACTTGGAGCAAACACCTACGATGCCAAATGTTTATCGCGCAGAATCTACCACCAAACGAGCCACGCCGCTGAGCTCCTGACCATGTGCCACCACGCTGGCTCGGTCTCGGGCCCTGGCCGAAAGGGGTCACAGGCATCGTGAGCATCCTTCGATGGGGCAGTGGGTACTTCATGGGGCGGAGATAGTGAGAGCTTTTGGTGGGATATTAACACCCTGAACATAACATGCAAGGCAGCGAGACAGGTGACACTTGCAGTTTTGACAGCAAGCAGCTTTGAGGCTAGCAACGGAATATGTCCGGGCTTCGGCTGGATCCAAAAACGGACCTTACCAGTTTCTGATCTCAGAAATATGATGTTCGAGGCGTCAAGTTAGGCGAGTTCTTGCAGTATTGGGAGATGACGCAAAGCCGAAAGAACCCTCGATGAACTCATGGGGCAACTGTGATTCACGTGGCAGGGTCATAGAAGACGAGTCACCAAAAAGGAGGGGGTTATCTTTCGGTTGCGCAGGTCATTCTAAAGATTCATTGAACAACTGGATATGGACCATGGATAGCCGGGATCAATACCCATTTGCTGTACATTCATTCATCATAACCGCAAAGGACCCTGCTCCACCCATACAACCGTGCTCCAAAGGTACAACCGTGCTCCACGCGTACGACTGTGCTCCACGCATACGACCGCGCTCCACATATGCGACCATGCTCGACGCGTACATATGACCAAGGATGCCTCTGCGTCGATTCACCAACAGCCAAGGGCTCAATTCCGCAAGCCCGCAGATTCACATTACAATCCAATCTTGCGTGAACCTTGATATGAAAACCGTGCACAACACTATGAAGACGGGTTAGCCATGGCGAGTGGGTAACTTCTTCTTGGAATAGCTGCAAGTATTTTGCTTATAACAATCCTAACTACGAAATCCAGTAGCAACAAGTGGAACAACCTTCGGTATCCTTATGGACAAAGCAAATGGCACTGGAAGCAAACTGCAGCCAGTGCCATCTGATCTAATTTCAAAACCAACGGACGCAAACGTGGGCTAACTAGGCACAATATGAGGCAGCTTCACGCAGTTTCCCGAAAACAAATCATCGACTCCTGGAAGGAAGCGCATTCAGCTTGCTTCTTCGAGTGTCACCGATGGCATTGGTCATCGCATGATTCAAAGATATCAGCAACAACAGCATGACAGACTCAGATAATTTATGGTAGATCCTGTCTGTGGTCGGTGCCTTTCAATATCTAGCAGTCTACATTGCTTCTGTTTGATTGCTAGCAATCGAACTTTCCCTGCTCATCCTAGATGCTATCATGGTATTCAACTGCCACGCGACAAGTCACATCCGATTCCTGGGCCACGCCGCTGTCTTTGGCTGGCCTGAGTTCGGACTGGCCTGGTTGAATCTCCATCCCGACACTCACTGGTTTCCAATATATCATCCTTGTGTTCTCCTCAACAATGACGTAGTTCAGACCCTTGAATAAAGAAATGACCAAAAGTTGCCAAAAGAGCGGTCTGCGGTGGCTGACAGGCTACAATGGATCTGTTCCATGCAACCTGTCTCCCTGCAAGGTCGCCTCTCAAACTGAGCGTAGAATTCCAAGAACGCTTGATCGAGAACACATAGCACTGCGGTCCTCATAAAGAACCCGTAAGTGTTACGGTTTCGACATGTTGATTGTAGACGTGCATGTATGGGTCCGTTGCCAGTTTCGAGCCCCCTGAGGGCTGGTGTCCCATCTCGAAGTCAGAAGTAAGTGTCAACTAACCATTATACCAAAGGCTTGAATCGAACCAGGGGTGCATGAAGTTTATTCGGGTCCTGTGTGGTTCATGCATTAAGCCTTTGACCGAACCCCTGCTTGCATGCAGCACAATCATCTCATTACTGGTATGTCATCGACTTACTCGCATCATTTCTGGCTTCGTCACAATGACTTTCCCTTGATATCCTCGCCCTACCTGGCAAAAATACATCACCAGCCAGTATACAAGACGGGAAGTTGACAACGGAACGGTCTGGACCGGCTGTGGCTGAGACACTCTGAGTGCACAAATTGTGCTGTTCAGCTACGATGATTGCGGCGGAGATGGGTACTGCGACGGCGGGCAGAATGGACTTCAAAGTGAATCGGGTCTTGGATATTGGACTGTCATCAGATTGAACCTGACGCGAACTCGTTTGGCTTGATATCATTTGATCTGCATTGTGTGGACTAGTCAGGCGGAGATCCTCAGCGGTATCATTGCTAAACAACGGGCGTGCAATGTCAAGGTTGCCCAGAGGCGATTTGAGCTCACGGCGCAATCCCCCAACAGATTGTGTTCTTATAGATAGTGTGCCAGTGCTTTTCTTGACAGCTCCCTGATTGGGATGTTTCAATGAGTCGCACACAGAAAGCCGCCCATTGTGTAGGTTCTCCCAGTTCAACACAAACCTATGTCCAAACTGGAACTGGCGACTGCTTGGAATAGCTCAATGTCAATTTCAAACTAGTCGGGAGGACCATGTGTATCACAAGAATGAAAGTCGGGAGGGCCATGTTTATCACAAGAATGAAAGTCAGGAGGACCATGTTTATCACCAGAGTGAAACCCAGATAACCTCACTGTTTGCATCCATCCGGGTAAAACCTGCAAGGCAAAACCCCAGGAAGCTTCGAGCTTCTTTTAGATCTGTGAGCTTGCCCACGAGCTCATTGACGTACCCAAACACCAAGGCGTCTGAAACCGACGAATCGGACGCATGTCTTTCAGGCAGCAGCGTGGGCGTCAGCGTAACCCAGGGCACCGCCCTGTACCAAGAACTGAAGCGAGGACCGAATTTAGAATCTGGGCACCCTTTGGTGGACAGCATTTACATGGGGAAGTACTGTTTATCAAAACATGTTTGAGAAGGTTTTTGGTTCATAACCAAATGGCTTCCGAAAATGCTCTCTTGTCATAAACCTCGGCAAGTGGAGCGGTTTTCAGATTCCAGGTGTTGCCCTCCTCTCAAACACCTACTGGCTCAACTGCAAAAGAGTTTCAAGGTTTGGGACTTTCTCTGAATCCAGCAATCACTTGAAGGCAAGCAATCAACACTGATTGGAAGGTTTAAAGTTTCAACAATTTGGCTTCGAGCAAGCTAGAACGTAGGCCAAAGGGGCCGGGGAAGGGGGGGGAATGTTTTGACACACACACACACACGGACACTAATCTTCTTCCATGGTGCAAATGTGTCAGCAACTGATCAGAGTGCCAAGCGATCCTACTCCTCCTCCGAAATTAATATGGAACAAGAGGTCGCTCATCTGATTGGCGGTTTCGGGTTTCATCTTCAGGTGCTGCTGCATATTCACAGGCTCAGCTACTGTGGTGCCCCAAAATATAATATACATATATATATATATATATATATATATGTGCATCATTGTATTTTGTATGCAGAGAGTTTGCATTACATACATATTGTGCCTCACGCATGTTTGTGTGTATATGCAATATACACTCAGGTCAGGCTTCTTGCCCAGGCAGTACGTGGTTCAGCCGCAAGATGAGCCACAGTCTTTTGCACTTCAGTCACAAAAGCTGTAGCAACATTTACTGACGTTGATTCCTTCGGCCTGAAAGCGGCCTCAGTCAAATGAAGAGCGCATTGCGATTAAGAAGTCGAATGCTTGAAACGCAATGTAAGACATCTGAGAGGAGCGAATCTTACCAATGCAAGGCGAGGCAGCTGTGCGCCTCTTTGATTTCCTTCACTTCCTTGACTTCCTTCAGTTCCTTGAGCTCCTTGAGCTCCTTGAGCTCCTTCACTTCGTGCCGGTCGCTTGACCTCGTGCACTGCTTTTGCTTCATGCGATCAGTTGCGCTCTTGAGACTGGGGCTTTCGGGGCAGGGCAAGCATGGGCAAGCAACGTGACTTGTGCAAAGTCTTAGGGTACTGCCAAAGGCTGGCAAAAGCGATATGCTCCTGTGGTCATGTCACACAAATCGTGCATAGTGGTTGGATTGGCTCAATCTGAAAGTCAGGCTGTCCTTGTGGACACACACTGGCCATACTGACAAGTTGCTGCAGAACGTGTTGTATGCGGCACCCCACGCAACATATGGCTTTGCCCTGGCCATGACAATCCTCGCTACCAGTGATAACATATTCTCACAACTAGCAACGCAGTCTCTGGTATGTTTCTTGCCAGCGCAACTGCAGCGCAATTAGACATTGATATGCCAGGAAGGCTATGGTCCCGCTGTTGAAGGGGGGATCCCTCCAACAGCGAATAAAGCTGGCGGCGTTTTTTTGGGGATGGTTTTCATTGGCTGTGCTGGAGACCGGCAACACAGCACCAGTACGACCACGCCAAAAAGCGACGAGCCACTTATGGAACCAGGAAGCAAGTGCCCGGGCGCGAAAGCGGCGCTCACGGAGATCTTCTTGGGCAAAGGCGGCGACACCTGTCCAGCCCAACCCATGGCTTAAAAACTCAGCGGTCCGGAGAAGCAACCATGTTTAGCAAAGATTAGCTCTGCCGGGAGAATCCATCAAGGCACACACCGGATGTTCGTGCAAAGAGTCGACCCCGGCCCAAAAGAGTCGACCCGGCACACCCCGCTTCCACCGATCCAATTAAGCAGGGACACGTCGGTTTGATCCAGGATGGGAATTTGCAAGAATGCTGGCACAATCACCACTAACAACGACAGAGACTGAAGCAAACGCCTCGCAAACAAACCTGGCCACGCGAACAAACACACAAACAAGCACGACACACCTGACAAATTTCTCAACCCCGTTGGCATTCAAAGGCGTGAGGAGTGTAAGCAGGTACGTATGAGGCAGTACGTATATTCAACATACTAGACGATACTCACGTCAGTTGGCAGCCCTGACCTTCCCACCGCACTTGGGTGCACTACCCTGAACATGGTCAAAAACTAAAGGTAAGCTTTCCGGGGTTGTTTTAAAATGCGGCCCACGGGAAACCCACCTGCTTAGGGGTTTCCCGTTTGCGGACAAACGTCTTTGAGGATCCGGCCTGACTTGAGGCCAGCTCGGCGACCGTGAGCTTGCGCTCGCCTAAGGGAACAACAAATCGGCTGATGACCTTCCAAGAGCCCTCCCACCAAGCGAAATCGCTCGCAGCTATGTCTCTTGAAACTCTTTCCGAAAAAAGCAACTTAAAGCCGAAAGACGCCCTCGGCAACTTTGGATACGCGTGGCTCCGGACACTTTGGCCGGGAACTCGGGCCACGGCGCTTCTCCTCGCGCCCTACGGAGCCCGCCTGAGAAATCCATCAATACTTGGCATGAGGTCTGCGCATGTGTGGCCAGTGACCTCCAGTCATGTGGGGCGCAGAAGTCCCCCCAAAGCCGCTCAAACTAGGAGGATCTGGTCAATCAGCCAGCCAATTTGTTGCTGCTTGTCAAACAATGTCGCAATCAGGTGTTTTGCATCTTTATGCCCAGGCCCTGCATGGAAAGCTGTCTAGGGAGCAGCACATACATCTGCAGTTTTTGCCGCCCAGTGGCTGTGAAGAAAAAGCTCATCCCTTGCTTTGGCGGTTCATCTTGGGAAAGTTATTTCGAAAACCAAGAGGCACCAAAAAACAACTGCACCTTTCAGGGATCCCTCTGGAGGGTGAGAGCGCAGAAACGTCGCTGGGTCTGGTTGATCATCCCCCCCCTTTTGTTGGGCAACACATAACAAGCATTTGTGTCCAGGAAGTACGGCGCTTTTTCATCATCCCCCAAAGTAGAGCTAGGCAGAAACAAGGGCAGCTGAGCAGCATCGTGTCTCACGCTCTCAACAAAATGGATCAACCCTTTGCTCATTTAAGAATGCAAAGCCCCCGAGCCGTGGCCAAAAGCACAACCAATCGTATTTCACCCCAAGAAAAGCATCGAGTGCCTCTCATTCCTTGAGATATCTTGAGATAAACCAATGGCAGCTGCGCGCCGAACCAAGCGGTGTTCAGCCCAAGCAGCTGCTACAGGGAGCGCCAGTGTCATGTGACCCACCACCTGCGGATCGCAAACATCTTCCTAGGTCTTCCAAAGAGTTGTTTTTCGTTCTGATCCTTGGCAAAGAAAAACACAAATAACCGAGGGCCGGCCTTTTAGGTTTCCTAGAAAACAATCAATTTTGCGATGCAATGGGGCCTGTGCGGCCTTCGTTCGTATTCAAGAGAGCATGCCAGCTATGACAAAGTATAATAGTGCATAAGAATCTGGAGCTGGAACATGCGCAACAAAGTTGATCCGCTTGTTTTTCTCTGATCGTTAGATAAGTGTACGGAATGTTGCCCGGCAGCTGGACCATGGATAACTCTGTATGTCTCAGAAACTAAGCCCCAACTAAGCGATGTAAAGACAACTAGTGGAGCCAATCAAATCGAACGAGCACGGGCGCAAGTCAGCACTTGCCCAGAAGACGAAGCCAGTTGAGGTGCTAAAGCTAATGGTCGGTGCCTAAGCGACACCAAAGGATCGAGTGCTGATGAAAGCCAGCAACTTGGGTTCTCGTCCGAATACGGAAGCCAAACTACCCACGGAGCCAGATCACCCTACGTTGCGGGTCGCCAGGATGAACACATTTGGCGAACTTATTGACTCCAAGACTTCAGAGAATTCGGTAAGATTCATTCAACATACTATCTCAAAGACTATTTGTGCCACTCATGAAGAATCTTTATATCTGATGAATGATTGGCGTTCATGATGAATTTTGACGCGACCCATCAGAGTTCGCCACGCCATTCATAAAGAAGCTTGTTGTGGTCCATCAAGCACCTTCATGCCATTAATGAAGCCTCCGATCCATAAGGAATCTACATGCCACTCATTAATAATATTTGTGCGACCCCTAACAGATATTCATGCATGTCAAGCATGAAGACTGATCGCGTCATGTGCGAAGAATATTCATGCGGTTCATGACTACGTAGACTACGACTCATGTCATTAATGGAAGGGTATTCATACGATCCATACAATAGAGTCATGTCATTCATTGAAGAATCATCATGCGATTCAACAACAACATTCATGGTTCATGAAAATGAATGTGACCCGCATAATATTCATGTCATTCATGAAGATCTGTTGCGACCTTTGAACAGTGTTCATGCAATCCAGGAAGCATCTATTCACGCCTTTCATGGCGAATATTCATGTCATCCCTGGAAAACCTTCATGCTAACCATATCCTTCATTAAGAAACATCATGCGATCCTTCATGCGTTCTACAAAGAATCTTCATGTCTTCCGTGAGGAGTCTTCCGGCGGTCCATGCAGCATCTTCACCTCATTCATGAAGGATCGTCATGCGATTCATGAAGAATCTTCATGTCATTCATGAAGGATGTTCATAAAGAGCGAATTCCAAACTGGAACAACACTTTTAGTTCGACATTGGCACAGACCACCGGTAACTACAGGAGCGGTTTTAAGCAGTCCAGAGTCGACTTTGGCCGGTGTAGGATCGGTTTTTGGCGGTGAGCTTATTTGCAGAACCTGCTTAGCCGAACTCAAGATGCGCGTGAGTATAGCGCGCAGCCATCATACAGGTTCTGAGTTTCAACAGTTTTCAGGGAAAGCTTGGCTTAGTCCAAGGGCTAGGAAAGCTTGCTACTGAACCTCGAAGTTCACTCCCTTACCGCGACTGCCCTTGGACTTACCTCCCCGGGTTCCCACTACCATATTGACCATGGCCGTCGGCTGAATTTCGAAAGACACTCGCAAGAAATGTTGCACCCTTTGGTGAACTGGGCTGTGGGCCCACTGGCCCACCTCCTCCTCAGCATCCTGGAAGATGGGTGGATTAAGGAACTGCTCGGCCCAGACCAGGTCAATCGCCTGCAGGCAAGGGCTGCCTCAAGAATCTGCCATACAAACCAACACGGTCACCAGCAGCTACAAGAATCACGATAACATAGAATCATATATCTATGTATAATGTATATATATAATATGCGTATTATAGACATAATATGAGCATGTGACTATATGACTTATCTGGCGCAATGCTAGAATTGGGAATAAAATCCTAGCCAATATGGGGAAAACCATGTTATGTTGCAAAGGATTAGTGCAAAAGCACTTGGCGCGTCGCTATAACTGCGACACTCCTGTCTGACCGTTCAAATGGCTCATGGTGCACTTTGTGAAGGCATCCGATCCGCTGCGGACTCGTTTTGAACGCGTGTTGGGCTGCTGATGGCTGCTGTTCTTTCTGGCTTGCGCGCCTTAGGGTTGGTTTAGGCGGGTTAAGAAGCTTGGGTTGATTGGCTTATTGATTTAGGGGAGGTTTAGGGTTTAGGGGGGTGTGAGGTTGGTTGGCTTGTCCTCGGTTTGGCGTGGAGGTGCTGGGAAGGGGGGGGGGTTGGGGTGGCTGTGGCTGGTGCTGTGTCTATGGCTGTGGCTTTCTGTGTCTGTCTCTGTCTTTGTCTCTGTGTATCGCTCTCTCTCTCTCTCTCTCCCTCTGTCTCTCTCCGTCTCTCTGCGGGTCTCTCTGTCTCTCTTTATGTCTCTGTCTGTCTCTCTGTGTCTCTCTAAGTTTCTCTGTGTGTCTGCGTGTCTGGTGTCTGTGTGTGCGTGACGGTGTGCTCTTTGTCTCTCTGTGTCTGGCCCTGTCTGTCGCACTGTCTCTGTGTGCGTCTCTTTGTGTCTCTTTCTGTCTCTCTGTGTGTCTGTCTCTCTCTCTCTCGTTGTGTGTGTGTGTATCAAGTGCTGGTGCAAACAGTGTGCATTGGATACTACATATAGTCGGCTTCTCACGGCCAAACAGCAACCTGAAACACAAGGCCATGCGTGTACACGACCAAGCGCACGAAGCCGACAAGTCAAATGCTCGAGCTTGGAAAGCTTCAGCAGAGTCTGGGGCCCACACCACCCCCCCACCCCGTCCTCCACTGGCAGTGGGCGGTCGTAGTCGTGACTGTCAGGGGTTGGCCTTGCCCGGTTCCAGCACAAACGCAAGGACGGCTGGTTCGGTAGCCAGATCTGTCGCATTCTCGCACAGGTCTCAAGTTTGTCGGATAGGAGTTTGCCAGGATTCCGAAACTTTGTGTCCCTTTGAAACTTTGCTCTTATGACCTAGGAAACCTGCAGCCCTGCTGCTGATCAGGATTCCTAGAAAAGTAAAGATCCGCTAAACATGTCACATTGCCAACAAAGAAGATAAACATTTACTGCAAGCCTCAAAACACATTGACGTCTCCTGGTATCAGTTGGCGGAAGCTTCAGTGTTTCTATGTCAACGTGTGTACAAGATGCACACGAGCAGCAAGCCAACCATTGCCTGTGCGCAGCACTCAGGCCAATGGCCTGATGGTTCTTGCCGTCTGGGTATCGGTTGCTTCCCCCCCCCCCCGCCACCCAATGACTGCGTTTTGGACACTTGGACGTTTGGACATGGGAAAAGCCGGTTGGAGTGCGCCAGTGAGAGATTCGCGTTTCGAGTAGGTCAGCTACTCGTTCGGGAAATATGGCCTACCCTTGATCGCGGAAGCCAAGTACGAGCACCCAACCTTCAGGTACGGGACACAACGACCGCGAATCGGCGATTCAAATCGATTTTTGGACGCAACGCTTCTCCTACTCAGTTTGACATTGTTACCGCGGATATGTTTTGCGGCGGCAACTATTGCTGTTGGCTGGATGCCGTTCAAGTGTCACTCGGGCTTTGACTCGAGCCTAAGAACCGCGCCTTGCCCAGGCCTTTTGCTGACAGCTGCAGGCGTGCGTTTCGTCGAGTAGCTTCGGTGCCAATTCATATGTTGCCCGTGCTTGATTGCTTGTTTACGCTCAGCTGGGAGCATTCAGGCAGCGGCCAGCCCTCCGTTCGGTGTGAACCTGCTGGGGCAACTGGCCCACACTCCCTGGCCTTGCCCTGATCCCTGGAACGCTGAAGCAAACTCCTGACCCCAATTTGAAGAATGTTGTGGGTAAGAAACGTTCAATGTTGCTATCCCAACGGCCCAAGGAGACAAGCAACATGTCTGATCACCTGAAGCGAGACCAAACCCCATCCTGGCAACAAAGCTTTGTTCTTTGCAGCCCGCACCAAAAACAATCCCAAATGCCGAAACAACACAATCCCAAAAGCTTTCCCAGAAAGGTGTAAAGAACAAAAGCCTGGCGAGAACAGTGACGAAACGCACCTCCCCCCCTGCCCTCAGTGAGCTCTAGGCAAGCGGCTTGCGGTGCTCTGCCCGCCGATGATAAAAGGCACACAAACGTTGCCGGGGGCAGCCTGGCCAGCCAACCCATAAGCCCATGCTGAGGTGCACATGGTTTTCCGTGCCATTGCTTCCCACACCACACACACACACACACACACCCGCCCGCCTGCCCGCCTGCCCGCCTGCCCGCCTGCCCGCCTGCCCGCCTGCCCGCCTGCCCGCCCCCGAACACATTCACGTCTGGAATATCTTAGCTTACCCACAAAGGAGTGAGTTTTGAGCGGGGGGGGAGGGGATAGTGTTTTCATGACAATTGCGCCAGCAGCTCCCTTCATCTGCATGTCGCGGCAGGTCACCGTCCTGCGCAACTTGCTCGCTTGAGACATGCCGATCACTGCCCGCCCTCAACCCCAACGCCTCGGATCTATGGGTCTCGGTCATCAATACTCGTGGTCATCAATATCAAGGACCAGCCACAAATCATGAATATGACACATGCCAAGCAGTAAGCAACTGATTGAGAAGCGACCCCCCTGCACTTCTCCTATCCAAATCCACCCGGTGCCAGCCGTCCATGGTCACTGACATGCTTAAATCAAACAGCCTCAATGATGGTGTTTCAAGCATTTCCACAAACCTCCACTGCCATGGCAACATGAGAAAAAAAAGACCCTCTTTTCGGGAGCTGAGTTTGGACCCTCCGAAAACGCCCCTGCAGGTCTGAGCTTGGGGGACACCGCGAGGACTCCGAACGCCGCGACGCGGCCGGCAACCGGCGCTTCCGGTCCGGAAGTACTGCGGGTGGTAGAGTTGCTCCTTGTGCCGCAATTTATACTTTCCCGGTGCTTCCAGGTAGGCCACTAAGCCGGCAACCAGGGGAAATAATGATGTAAAGCCTGCAGGATAGTGGCTTGCCTGGAAACACTGGGTTTGGTTGCCTCGCAACCAGCACGAACAACGAATTCTCTGAACAATCCTGGCCTGACGGCTGGTGACGCTCGAGTAACTTGACTGCCGGTCAGCTAACCAAGGCGATCCAAACCACCCCTGCAAAACGTTAAGAGTGACCAGTGCTGGTCGAGTCACAATTGAGAAAGCTGGCTCAAGTCGGCAAAAGTCCGGCTTTTTGCATGTCAGTCTTGAATATGTGACTGCAGGAAATCACAACTTACACAAAGGCAAGCATAGAGGATGTGGTTGGCTAAAAGATGCCTTGCCGTTTGAATAGTGCCCATGGCAATTCATGGAATTTCACTCCAGTGCTCTCCAATGGTTTTAACAAGCACCATTACGGAATCTGGCTCCCGTCTTCAGTCGTGTTTAAAGGGAAAACCAAAAGGGTTTCCTTTGAGTCTCCTACACAACCCCACAGCTCATGCTTGACCCAAATCGGATGACCCTAAGATTCGCTTTATGTTGAAAACAGCACTCCAAGTGCCTGAGCTAAAGATGAAGTTCCCACCTTGGCGCCGTGGGCATAGGGGCAGCGCAGCCCCAGGGGGCAGCGCTGGGAGTAGGTCACCTGAGTCGCCACCTCCAAAACGTGAGCTAAACCCAGGGTCTGCGTCACCCACTAGTGGTAAACGGGTCTGGGACAACTCCAAACAACCAAAAAAGGCAGGATGCAGCACTGACCATTATTTTGCCCTCCGCTCATAAAGCGT